CTCTCTATCAGTGATATAGAGGGCGAACAATTTATGAATTTACCCTGTATAAGCTTTATACAGAGTAAAATGGATTTATTTGGGGTTTGGATCCCATTGGGAGCTTGGTGTCTGGGTGCTGGAGACAGATAACCTGCTGAGCTGTTTTCAGTTAAGTCTGCAGCTTTGGGGGTGTGGACCAGACCCTGGGTCTGTGTTGCAGCAGGCTAGCATGTCTGGCTCAACAAGACAGGGTTCTGGAAGTCCCAAACTGGCAGGGAAAACGGGCTCAGAGGTAATTTCAGCACATCAGGTGACAGTCCCAAGGGGATCTCTGTGACTGAACCCATCACAGTTGTAACCTATTTGCACAAACTGTGGATGCATGTGTTCCCCCACTTAGACAATTAGGTTATCAAGGACACTCCTTAGCATTCAAAAAGCCAACACAACAGGGATATTGGATACCCTAGTGTTTATGATAAACTGCCCAAGTCCCATCTTGTCTCCAGTAGATGATTGGAGTACATTAGGAGCCCTGTTAGACACAGCTCAAGTATTCCTGCCCAGACAGTATCCAAGACATCACCAGATGGGCATTAATATTAAGCAAAAGCCAACAGATGACAGCTAGAACAATACTGTGAACACTGAATCTGATGGCTGCAAACATATTCAGTAGTAGCCATGGCATATGTTCATAAGAGACAGCTTCAGTGACCTCAGTGAAAGCAAGCATCCCAGGGACTCTCACATTGCTTCAGGTAACAGACAACTTCAGAGCCTTTCTGATCTGGTGGCATTCCAGGCACAATCTTGATTTAGAGATGGATTCCTAGATGCCTCCAGTCCAAATCATAGTGACACAGGTGCAGCCACTCTGGAATGGGAAACCCATGCAGAGGGATTACATACTAAAGGAATTCAGGGTAAAATGTTCAAAAGTAATTTGAGTAAGTAATTTAGGACTCTACGTCCTATAACTTTTCAATGAGACTTTGGCCTGGTCCACACTAACCCCCCACTTCAGACTAAGGTACGCAAATTCAGCTACGTTAATAACGTAGCTGACTTCGAAGTACCTTAGTCCGAACTTACCGTGGGTCCAGACGCGGCAGGCAGGCTCCCCCGTCGATGCCGCGTACTCCTCTCGCCGAGCTGGAGTACCGGCGTCGACGGCGAGCACTTCCGGGATCGATCCCAGAAGATCGATTGCCTGCCGCCGAACCAGGAAGTAAGTGTAGATGTACCCTTAGGCTTCTAAGTGCCTTAGTCAATTTTATGCAGTGTTGTTATAGCCATGTTGGTCCCAGGATATTAGAGAGACAAGGTGGGTGAGGTAGTATCTTTTATTGGACCAACTTCTGTTGGTGAAAGAGACAAGCTCTGTGTAGCTTGAAAGCTTGTCTCTCTCACCAACAGAACTTGGTCCAATAAAAGACAATATTTCACCCATCTTGTCTCTCTAAGTCAATTTTAGGTAAGACAGTGTGTCTACAGCCCCTAATTGTCTGGTTTGAATCTTCACATTTAAAAGCTTCATCTGTCATGAGACAATATGGTCCAGATAAGATGATGAAAGCTCCTTTTGATCCACTCAGTTCTTTTGATCTTAAGTTTCTTAAGTGAGAGGCTATTTTCCTGGTTACCTTTTTTTTTTTTAAGGTACTTTGGTTTGCTTTTTTCATACATCCTGTTTTGCTCGCTCGGAGTAGTGCACAGTTGCCCTCTAGTGGAGATCATTTATGTCAACTTTGTGGAAATATAATCCTGTGTCTGAAGCAATCTAATATTCTGCTCCAGTTTTGAGCCTGTAATTTCTCCAGGTTTTTGCAGTACCAGTCATCTGGCCATGGGAAAAGTGAGCACGAAGTGGATGAATTAAAATAGCTTCATTATAATAGTCTTTTAAACAGTTTCCAAAGTCAGGTCCCTCAAGCACTTTTTGTATAAAAATACAATACACAATTTTTGTGTAAAAATACTTCTTTATATAAAAGAAAATTATTAGAAGGAAATCTTCTTAAGAAGGGCACTTGCTTAATCTGGCCACTTCGGAAAGTCAAAGTAAATTAAGGATGATCAGCAATCATAGTACTCCCAATATTTATATCAATAATTTGGTATTAAAGTTGCAAAGAAAAGAGTAGAATGTCAGATCTTTAATCTGAATTATGAGTGTGCAAATACATGAAAGGTCTCTAGCACTATGGAATATTTGTCTTTGTTCTTTAAAGATCACAAGTGTACCGTGTTTAATTGTACAGCCCACCTTTTTCTTAGAGTGCCTAGGTCTGTTTAAGTACTATTCCATCACAAATTAAGCTATCAAGCAAGGCAGACCATTCCCCACGTACACAGATAAAGGGTGTGTGACATGGGATACAAATGCTACACCAGGCAGGAAGCGGTTAAGGAGCAACTGTGGCCTCAGGCAGCTTTATCCTGCTGCATCCGCGAGGCATGCCAGTCATGGAGGAGGAACCTTGAAAAGAAAAAGCCAGGTTCAGAAGGACCAAACCCTGGGAGGTGGACAGTTTTCTCTCCACTAGCTGCTAGGCGGGAGACACGAAAAAGAAGAAACTGGCTTACTGACTCTGCTGAACCTGGGGACTAATTGGGGAAAAGGAGCCAGTTGAAAGAGCAGTCAACTGAGGTCCTATAGGTGGCACAAGTCCAGCTCCATGAAGGAGACCTGGAGGACTCCTGCCTCGAGGAGGGTGACCAAGGGACTGTCTGAACCACAGTTCCAGCTCCAGGAGGAATACTGGGGGGGGACCAGAAGAACTCTTTGGAATATAGCCCAGTTACTGCTGGAGAGGTTGGGCAGCAGCTTTGCAGAAGCTCCTCACTTTAGCTAGCTGGAAAAAAGTGGCAAGCAGCCACAATTTCATGTCGGGAATTACATCATTCACAGGCCTGGGGAAGACACTGACAAGCAGGGAAAGGTAAAAACAGTGCATGGAAGCAGAGGGGGAATTGAAGGAACAATCCTTAGCCACCTAAGCATGGTCCCTGGGCTGGAAATCTGTGTCACAGACAGGAGTGTGGGTGGTCAGGCCTAGTGGTTGGAGCTGGAGTCAGAGACCAGGAACAGTGCCGAAGGTCAGAGTTGGAGTCAGGAACCAAGCACAGAAGGAAGGCTGGCATGGACTGGAGCACAGCAGAAGGAGCAAGGCAGAAGCTGGGCTGGAGCAAGGCTTGGGAACAAGGCTTGCACAGGAATGATCGCAGCTGTGGCGTAAGCGTTGAGCAGCTACTGGCTTAGTGCTGCTGCTGGGCTTTAGAGCAGGTCTTGTGACGCTTCTCAGTCAATCTGGTGATTTGTTTGATCAGGGTGTTCAGCTGTGGGACAGCTAGCTGGTCTCAGGATCAACTGCAGACCCTGATTCCTAACACCCAGAAGAGAGGGTGGGCCTGTGTTCCCCTACCTCTCCCCCAGATCAAGAGGAGACGGACAGGCTTCCAGATTGAAAGAGGTCAGGAATTACACACCCCAGATGGGGGCCGAGGCCCTGGCATAGAGGCTACTAGACTTTAGGTTTTTCCTGTCTTATAACCTGGACTCTGAATTACCTTGAAAGGGGCATGTCTCAAGAATGGCCTGGCCAGAGGGCCAACTCACAAGGCAAATGGGACCGCTAGCAGGCCTGGATGGCTGGTCTGCAGAACTGTAGTGGAGAAAATCCCTTCAATGTCACACCTAGCCGTAAGGGGATGCTCTGACTGTAAGTCACTTTGCCACAGGTATCAAACAGATCATTAAAGAAGCACTGTTTCCTAGCAAAGCTTTTAAGTTCAAATACGTAATATGTGTTATACTAGTTCAAATCTACTCTGCTTAAGAGTATATAGCATTACAGAGAAATACTCATTTACTCAAGCTATTTAATAACAGCGAACAAATTTAGCACCACATTACAACTCACAACTGAATAAATAAAGGAAACCATACATATCAAAATGTGGTTCATGTTCTAACACAAAAAATCCTACATTGTATAATAGTTGAGGTTGCTCAATTACAACCACCACCAATCTTAAGTTTAAACTATGAAATCTCTTTTATACAGGTTTGTTTACTGCCTTCATCACTATAGTATATGAGCCTCTTCCAGTAGTGCATTGAGTGACATGACTAACATCTGCTACATATGGTTTGTTCTTTCTCTCATTCTCTTGCCATGGCAAGAATTGTGTGAATAGTGGAGTGTTTTGTTGTGGTAGGGGTTTATTTTTGTGTGTGTCCGTGTTATGTTCTGTATTTATATTGGAAAAGGCAAGATCACAGAAGCGCCCCTTGCACTTGGAGTGGGAAGATGGTGAAGTTTGTGATAGGCCTTACTTACTGTGGGAGTTCATTCCACAGTCTTGGACCAGCCCCTGAGAAAGTTCTGTCCCGTGCACAGATGAGCTTTACCATTATGGTGGAAAGTTCTGTTGGGCCAGAGGTATGGAGCTGTGTCAAAGCTGTGGGTGATCTTTTAGACATCCTGGGCCCAGGCAATTGAGTGCCTTGAAAGTAAGGTAGGGATTAGACCTTGAACTGGATTTGATATTTTATGGTAAGCCAATGTAGAGACTAAAGGACAGGTGTGATCTGCTTGTGATAGCCTGTGTTGCTGAGAAGACATGGTGCAACATTCCTTGCTGTTAGTTTCCTAAGCTCTGATGACTTCATGCCCAGGTATATTGCACTGTTGTCCAGTAGAGCAGTAACTAAGACACGTATAACCAAGGCTAGATCAGCGTTTGCCAGGATGGTATGGCGTCTCCTAGCCAACTGGAGATGGTAAAAAACCATTACTTGTGGATGCTGTTATGTGAGAATTTAACGTTAGCAAGAAATCCAAGAGTCAATCCATAATCAAGTTATGTAAGATAGACTACATAACTAACTACTTATAGAAAACATGGCCTTCATCTGGCTCCATTCAACACAGGTGTTTCATCCATAAGAAGTATAAGCAAATGCCCTACCAAAACCACCTTAACAATTTTGTTTTTGTTTTGTTTTCCAGGGCTGTTGTACTTGACAATTCCTCTGTGCACAACTTTCCCCTCCCTAATTGCTTTTGGCTCGCTGTTGGGATTTTTTGATGCAGGAAACTATGTTCTTTTACCTGTTCTAACGCTAGACTTGATGGGAGCAGAGAAAATGCCTGTGGCCTGGGGATTTATGATGGCTGTCCACACAATTAGTTGTTTTGGTCCACCATTTGCAGGTGAGTTATCTAATACAGAGGAGTTGTATTTGAATGTGTTCCTAAATAATGATGCTTTGCATATGCTGGTATTTAAATGTTTTATCCATATGAAGAACAATATTTAGCCCTTTATCTATTAATAGCATTGCTAGCGATATTAAAGTGTCCTTTAATGATTTCCACTGTCTGCAGTTCTTGAGACAGCCCCCTCCTCATAGACCTAGGGATGAAATTGGAGAAATGAATGGTAGGGAGAGAAATATTAAACCTCCCCTCCTTCAAGCTGATGTTGCCATACATATGTTTCCTCTCTCAAGATGAATGATTTTTCTGTTCTTTTTTCTGTTGTGACTGTGACAGATACACAAACACACAGCTATCTTGAGACCATTATGTTTAATTTTATGAATATTATCTGTATATATGAGCCAGCTCTTGAAAGCCTGAAAACTTCAAAGACCATGATATCGAGATGAATGAGACGAGAGGGGCTCATGGAATATTCAGAGATCTTTGTATCAATAAGCTTTATGTATTTGTTTGTTCCTAACTGACTGGGGATGTTCCCTGTGGAATGTGGAATCACTATGGGGTGATTAATGCAAAATCCCAAAGCCAGTTATATAAATGTCCATCTTTATGGCTTGGGCCCCTGGGGATAGAGACAGTGACTGGTTTTACCTGTTTTCAAGAGGCTGAGAGACTAAGGGTATGACTATATGTACAGCACTGAAGTGGCACAGCTGTACTGATACAGCTGTGCCACTGCAGCGTGTCTGGTGAAGATGCTCTGTGCCTACAGGAGAGAGCTTTCAAGTCGGCATAAAAAACTCATCTTCACAAGCAGCATAAGCAATGTCGGTGGGAGAAGCTCTCCCACCAACATAGCCCGGTGCATACGAATGCTTATGTCGGTGTAACTTATGTCACTCGGTGGGGAGAATATTCATACCCCTGAGCGACATAAATTTTGCCGACATAGGCTGTAGTGTAGACATAGACTGAGGCTTTAGGGTTTAAAGACTGAGTTTAAACAGATTCAGGGCTTTCTTTTCTATTCAACAAACAGACCTGACTTTTGGTCCAAGTAGGGACCCAACCCTGCTGGGAGGTTGGAAGACTTGAACCTGTCAGATTCCACCCTGCGGAAAATTGGTGATTTCTGATACCTTTAGTGTGCATTTAGATTAAGACCTTTTTATTGTTTTATATGTTTTCTCTGTATGCCTTTGTCCTTAAATAAATGTACTATGCTTTGAAAGAGCAGTTTGGTTCCTGATAAATCACAGTTGTCCTTGGAGAGAAAGTAAAAAGCAGGGGCTAGACATTAGTTAGACCTGCTTGGGGCAATCACAGTTGATTGTAATAGGTTTCAGAGTTGTAACCATGTTAGTCTCTACCAGCAAAAACAACGAGGAGTACTTTTGGCACCTTAGAGACTAAAAAATTTATTTGGGCATAAGCTTTCATGGGATAAGACCCACTTCATCAGATGCATGGAGTGGAAAATACAGTAGGAAGATTTATATACATAGTAAATGAAACGATGGGAGTTGCCTTACCAATTCTAATGAGACAGTTCAATTAAAGTGGGCTATTATCAGCAGGAGGAAAAATCACTTTTGTAGCGGTAATCAGGCTGGCCCGTTTCAAACAGTTGACAAGAAGGTGAGTAACAGTAGGGGGGGAAATTAGCATGGGGAAATTAGTTTTTAGTTCTTGTAGTGACCCATCCACTCCCAGTCTTTATTCAGGCCTAATTTGATGGTGTCCAGTTTGCAAATTAATTCCAGTTCTGCAGTTTCTCGTTGGAGTGTGTTTTTGAACTTTTTGTTGTTGAAGAATTGCCATTTTTAAGTCTGTTGTGGAGTGTCCAGGGAGGTTAAAGTGTTCTCCGACAGGTTTGAATGTTATAATTCTTGATGTCTGATTTGTGTCCATTTATTCTTTTGCGTAGAGACTGTCCGGCTTGGCCAATGTACATGGCAGAGGGGCATTGCTGGCACGTGATGGCATATATCACATTGGTAGATGTGCAGGTAAACGAGCCCCTGATGGTGTGGCTGTTGTGGTTAGGTCCTATGATGGTGTTCCTTGAATAGATATGTGGACAGAGTTGGCAACGGGGTTTGTTGCAGGGATAGGTTTCTGGGTTAGTGTTTTTGTTGTGTGGTGAGTATTTGCTTCAGGTTGGGGGGTTGTCTGTAAGCGAGGACTGGCCTGTCTCCCAAGGTCTGTGAGAGTGAGGGATCGTCCTTCGGGAAAGGTTGTAGATCCTTGCTGATGCGCTGGAGAGGATTTAGTTGGGGCTGAACTGCAGCCTAAACCCCTGGTCAGGAGGGCATGTAGGAGATCAAAGTTCAGCTCCCTTCCCTACATCAGGTAGAGCAGGGAATTGAATCTGGATCTCCAGAATCCTAGGTGAGTGCTCTAACCAGTTCATTAAAGCTTACAAAGGAGGCAGCACCTCATCCTCTGGCTATTTTGTGAGCCTTTTCCTTTGTCAAAGTGCCTGAAAAGCAAAACGAATTTTTCAGGACTAAACAAAATGTTTCATTTGTCATTGCCAAAACTTTTTGACTTTTTTTGGTTCAGTCGAAACTATTCAGCAAACTCAACATGAGTTCACAAATAGTTTGTTGACCTGAAACTGAATTTTTTAGTGAATACACTATCCATCCAAAAAAAATTCACCTAGTTCTACTCCTCACATGCGCCATAGAAACAAATCTTGATGTAATGGGCTTTCAGCCCACCAGGAACTGCATCACCTGACTACTGGACCCACCATGAAACCTTTCTAAGAGATGTGGGGTGTTTCTCCATAAAGATTGGTGATTCCATATATACTACATAAATTGAAAATGCTCTCTCACACTTGAGTACATAATGTGTCTAAAGATATTGGATTAAATAAAATAAAGGGTTTCAAAAGGAGTTTAATTTATTTAGGTTATAGGCTTTTCTATCTTTTCTAAGGCACTCATTGTATTATAGGATAATAAAGAACAATGTGGAGATAAAGATCTGCTTTGATGCAGGGAAAATATGATTACATGCAATTGGAATATTATTTGTTTCAGGCTGGATATATGACTTATTAGGAAGTTACAACATTGGATTTGTAGTGCCTGGACTTTGCTCTGTTGCAGCAGCAGGTATTCTTGCTTTCATTCCACGGCTTAAAAATACAGCAGTACAACAGAAGAAGAACATTATTCATGCTTCTGTTTGTGAGATAACAAACAGTATAATACCTTGGGAGTCACCACCTCATTCAATACAGGTAAACAAAAGATTGAATGCAGCTATGCTAAAATGGTCTTTCTATGCTAAAATGTCTTTATTCTATGCATATAGGAACTGGTTTTCTAAATTTTACATGATGCTAAAGCAGCTATATATTACTAGTGGGGGAATTCTGCACTAAAAATTTAAAAATTGTGTGCCAAAAATTTAAAAATTGTGCATACAATATTTTAAAATTCTGCAAAATTCTGCATATTTTATTTGTCAAAATAACACAATATAATCATGCCAGTTTCAATTATTTTGGAAATTTATTTCAAAATACCTGTCAGCAACTATGTCTGTAACAATACAGACACAAAAAAATTCCCCTAGGAGTAGACAGTTAAAGAAACTCCTATGACCATCCAGTTCCTGTTTTCTCTGCCCCCTTCCCCACCATCAGAGCCCAGCCAGGGGGTCAGACGCCCCACCCCCCGAGATACCAGCTATAGGGTGCCCCCCCAGCCCAGACACTCGCACCCATGCCCCCCAGAGCCCAGTCACGGGGTGCCTCCCAGCCCAGACACTTGCACCCCTTACCCTCAGAGCCCAGCCACGGGGTGCTCCCCCACCCAGACACCCGCACCCCCTACCCCCAAAGCCCAGCTGCGGGCCCCCCTCAGCCCAGATACCCAAACCCCATACCTCCCAGAGCCCAGCTGCGGGCCCTCCCCAGCCCAGACACCTGCATTCCCTATCTCCCCCCCCCAGCTGTGGGGCCCCCCAGCCCAGATACTCACACCCCGTCCCTCCCAGACCCCAGCTGCCCCCCCCCAGCCCAGAAACTTGCACAGACCCCCTACCCTCCCAGAGCCCAGGGATCCAGAGGGAGAAACAGCCTGATGCTGGGTCACAGGTTTGTGTGGAGTTGCCTGTATGCCACCTCCTTCCTTAGGGCGTCCCAGGAACTTCAGCTGCCCAGAACTCTCCTGCTTGAGTGTCTTTTGTTTGAGAGCTTAGCTCTGCCAGGTCCATTGGCTCCTACTGGTGGCCAGCAGCTCTGCAGCCCATTTCTGGGGTGGGGGAGGAAATTCTGCACAGAACATGAATTTGCGTAGAAATTATGCATTGTGCAGTGGTACCGAATTCCCTCAGGAGTAATAGATAGATAGATAGATAGATATTTCTAACCTTCATTAAAAGATTAGCACAATCTTATAATTTATTAATGTTCTTATATTGATATATTCCCTCCATTTTATTAATAATGTAATACTAGTGCAGTAGGCCCACTTTAAAATTTTCTGCCTATTTAAAAGTTTTTATGGGTTTTCCTGGTATTCCCCATTTGTATATATAGAAAATATTTCTCAAACTGATAATTTGCAAACTGGTGGAAACATTGTGGGCTAAATTTCCCATTGAAGTCAGTGGAATTATGCTAGCAGATCATTTGTTCTTCTTCGAGTGATTGCTCATGTGTATTCCACTGTGGTGTGCGTGCTCGCCACGTGCATCAGAACCAGAAGTTTTTCCCTTAGCCGTATCCGTAGTGGGGGAGCACCGCTGCGACCCCTGGAGTGGCGCCGACATATCGCGCCATAAAGGGGACTGCGTGCTCCCCCCACCCTCAGTTCCTTCTTGCCGCCAGTGAAGGTAGTCGGAACTTGCTCCAGCCTTGGCTGCAGCGTTATAGCCTTACTGGTATCTAGTTCACTGAACCGTTTCTTTGCTGAACTTTTCTTCTGTTAGTGTCTGGCTCGTGGCATGCCCCGTGGCCCAGGCTTCAAGTCGTGCAACTCTTGTCGCAATTCTATGCCCAGAAGCGATCCACACTCTCAGTGTCTTCGCTGTCTGGGCGAGTCTCACATTAGTGAGAAGTGTAAGATCTGCCGCTCCTTCAAGCCGCAAACGAAGAAGGAGCGTGAGATCCGACTCCGAGAGTTCTTAATGGAGTCGGCATTGGCCCCGGCACCGGTGCATCGAGCTGGCACCGCGCCGGGCTCCGCGTCATCGATACACGGCGAAGTGCCTCCAGTGCGCCGCTCCGAATCGGCACCCGGCACCGTGTCCTCGGTGCACAGCGAGGCAACTTGGACGTCCTGGCACCGTTCCCCAGCGAAAAAGACAGGGAAATCGCAGAGGCACCGGGAAAAGAGCAGGGGTGAGGCCAGACCCGAGTTGGGCAGCCCGCGATCCCCATCGGGACAGAGACCTCCAACTCGCGCTGAGTGGAGTAGTCCAGTCCCGTCTGCGCGAGCCTCTCCGGAGGTGTGCATGCCCTCGACGCCAGAGGCAGCTCAGGCCACACGTGATATACTGACGCTTCCGGTGCCGGCAGCACCGCAGCACTCGGGCCCCCGGTCCCTCGGGAAGCCGTCCTTGATTGCCCACCAGCCTTCCCCGGAGGAGTCGAAGATTGAAGCACCTTCCCGGGTTGAGGCACCTAGCAGGGCTTTACGACGCACATCGACCCCGCATCATGACTCCGCCATGAGCGTTTCCCACTCTTCTGGTCCTGAGCGCCGTTGTGCAAGAAGAAAGAGGCGACACCGAGAGGAATAGGTCTTCTTCTTCTAGCGACTCCGAGAGGAATAGGTCGCGACGCCGTCGGCACCGACGCTCCCACTCCAGGACCCGGCACCATAGAGGTCAGGCTCGCAGCGCGTCCCCGCATTCCCCGGCACCGAGGCACCGGGCCCACAGGCGCCACGGACAGTCCAGACGCAGCTCCTCGGACGTTTACATCTCGTCGTCCTCCAGGTCGAAGTCCCGGGGCAGGAGCCGTCACGATCGGGACCGTTCCAGCCGTTCTTACGGAACCGTTCACTCTTCCCGAACCTCGGTGTTGACGCGCAGTCGTCTATCCCGGGGCCGAGCCATGCCGCTGGACCAGCCTACACCTCCGGCGCCTGACGTGTCTCTACTCCAGGCTGTGCCATGGCAGGGTCAGTGGTGCCAGCTAGCGCCGTGGCCTCAGGCTCCGGCGCACCTTGGGCCGCGCTCCGTGGCGGGAGCCTCCCAGGGCCGCCCCGCGTCACCACGGTACTGGGATCAAGCTGTGGGTGCCAATCCCCTGACGCCGGCTCCGGCACCGGACCCCGAAGTAGAGCCAACGGTGCCGCTTGCCATTGAAGGTGCTGTACCTTCCACCTCGACGGCGCAGGGCGATTCGGTTGCGGTACCTCCTCCCTCTTCGCAAGAGGACTTTAAGGCCCATCAAGAGCTGCTTCGGAGGGTGGCAGCCAACCTCGAGCTCCGGGCTGAGGAGATGGAGGAGCCCTCCGACACACTTTTTAATGTCCTCGCCTCCTCGGTCCCGGGGCGTGTGGCGCTCCCCTTTCATCAAGGAGTTGCCAATATCACCGCTGGCCTTTGGCAAACGCCGGCCTCCCTTGCCCCTATTTCCAAAAAGGCTGAGAGGAAGTACTTCGTCCCTGCCAAAGGTCTTGAGTACCTCTATACTCACCCAGCCCCTAACTCCCTGGTGGTAGAGTCAGTCCACCACCACGAGAGGAATGGTCAGCCTGCGCCCACGCCCAAGGACGGGGACGCTCGTAGACTTGACTCTTTCGGACGAAAGTCTTACTCGTCGACGAGTTTCCAACTCCGCGTGGCCAACCATCAGGCGCTTCTAGGCCGCTATGAGTTTAACCTTTGGGGATCTCTCCCCAAGTTTGAGCGCTTCCTCCCTGATACTGAGGTGAAGGAGTTTCGGGCGCTCATCCAAGAAGGGGCGACCGCGGCCAAGGCGGCTCTCCAGGCTGCTTTGGACGCGGTGGACACGGCCGCTTGCTCCTTGGCTACAGCCATCTCCATGTGGCGAGCATCGTGGCTTTCCTTCTCGGGGCTCTCCTCTGAATTGCAGTCGATAATGCAGGATCTGCCGTTTGATGGCAAGGCCCTGTTTGCTGATCAGACTGATACCCGTCTGTATGGGATGAAGGATTCCCGTACCACCCTGCAGACGCTGGGCCTGTACGTCCCACCTGCAAAGGACAAACCCAGGCCTCAACCCCCCGCTCCACAAGCTAGGGGTAGATATGAACCCCCGCCTAAGTGGCAGAGGGATCAGAGGCGTCGGTCACAGCGCCAATCCCGTTCGGCCCAGCAACCTGGTGCCTCGAAGGGCAAGCGCCCTGGGAAACAGCGTTTTTGACTTGTCAAGGGGGGTCACCGGGCCTGTTGCCAGTGCTCCCCCCACCCAGTTAATAAAGTTGCCTTTTTTCAACCGTTTATCGGCTTTCCGACTCCAATGGTCCAGTATAACGACGGATCAATGGGTCCTCAGCACCATCTCCCAAGGGTACAGGCTCCAGTTTGTGGCAACCCCTCCCAACTGCCACCCGTCAGGGTGTCAGACCGCGGTTCCGGAGCATGCCCTCCTCCTCCGTCAGGAGGTACAACGTCTCCTTTCCTTGGGAGCGGTGCCTCAAGAGTACCAGGGCAAGGGGTTTTACTCCAGGTATTTCCTCGTCCCCAAGGCGAAGGGCGGGCTTCGGCCCATCCTCGACCTGCGGAATCTCAACCAGTTCCTGGTGCGTTACAAATTCCACATGGTGTCCCTGGCCTCCATTATGTCATCCCTAGACCAGGGGGATTGGTTTACGTCACTGGACCTCCAGGATGCGTATTTTCACATCCACATTTTCGAGGGTCACAGGCGCTACCTCCGTTTCCTGGTGGGACAGGACCACTTCCAGTTTACAGTCCTCCCTTTTGGCCTCTCTACGGCCCCCAGGGTGTTTACGACGTGTATGCGGTGGTTGCAGCCCACCTCAGGAGGAAAGGGCTGCAGATCTTCCCCTACTTAGACGACTGGCTGATCAAGGGCCGGTCTCGATCCCTGGTGCAGCAGCAGACGAGCTACCTGCTAGGTTCCTGCGGCACCCTAGGCCTGCTGGTAAACGCCGAGAAATCCATGTTAATACCAGTTCAGCGCATAACCTTTATAGGCGCGCTGCTAGATTCCCGGATAGCCTTGGCCTCCCTCCCAAGGGACAGATTCGAGACGCTCAAAGCTCTCATCGCCCGGATCACAGCCTTTCCGGTAAC